CCAACTGAACAAAACACTCTTGTAGCCAGAAGCACGAAACGCAGTCAGAAAACTATAGCAACAAAATTATCTACGGTAGGGCAACGCAAAAAGTCCCTGATGGGCCACAATAGGTACTCCGGGAAATTCGTAAGGACCGCCAAGGTGTCAAAAAAAATATCAAGTATTCAGTTTTCGGGGGTGGATAAACGTTTAAATTATAATAAACAAAACTAGAAATATTGTTTTCCAAGAGTAGAGTTATTTTGACTTTTTTGCGTGAACTTGTCCATTACCTTCAAAACCTTATAGCAGCTGATCAAAGTAGACCATTCCATTTTGTACGCAATGTATCCACGACTTCTTCATAGTACTCCTTTCGAATCTTTTGGTGACAAGGCCACAAGGGAACGCAAACTTAATGGTCTAGTGTGCATGATTAAACGTGTAATATGCATATCTGTTATTAAAGTCGCGTGTAAATGCAACTGAAGCAAACTCCATTGCTATGCAGCTACAGCCTGGTATATTTGCCTTATCTTTATAGTATGTCTTATCTTATTAGCAGCGAATTTACTTAACAGTAAGGAATTGTGTATCACAGACAGAATTTCAAGTTTGAGACTCCTTCACAGCCTAGGAATATAGAATTTTGCATCCTAACATAAATTTTGCGGGAGATATGAATTTTACACAGTCGCAAGTCACAGACGATATAGAATGATGCACTAGTGAAAGCCTTCTCTGGCTGCACAGTTTTCAAGTCTAATTTTTTGCCACTCAGCAGTTCAGTGAGACTCTCTTCAACAGCAAACTGAAATGGTAAGCATAGTTGGTAGATATGGTTTAACGTGACTTCACCCAATACGGCAGGATGCATTGGTGGTCATCACTGTTGTATTTGGTCAGTTCAGACGAGCTCCAGTGCATTTCTCTGTCGATATCGTTAGCCGAAATAAACCAGCCGAAGTCAATCGATAAAAATCGATATCGCAAATAAATTGATTCAATCTATATCAATCGCCGATTGCTGTCGATTGATAGCCGCAATCGATAAGAATCGAACTCACAGAAAAAATTCTTTATCGATATCTATCGATTGGTAACTACCGATAAAAATTGATAATCCCTGTCTTCAGGAATATTGATTGTTATTGATTGAAAAAAACCGACAATAACTACCTGGACTAGTCAAAGATGGCCTTGCTATTGTGTAAAATAATACCTGGAACTGCACGAGACAGGAGTTCATCTTGACATGACATGACGATTTTTAAAAACTAAGGATTCAAAGTCCATGTAAAGTGATCTCTTCTCCAGGTACCGCTCTTCTGGGGTCTAAAGCAGGATCTTGGCATATCTGTTCATCGCCGCGCTATTGACTGTATCCTGAATATCTTTATCGACAATTTCGCGTAAATCAGAGTCTACCTCAATTTCGTAAACACACTTGGTTGAACTTCGTTCAGCAGAAGCTGTTATTTCAGAAGGAAATAACCCGTCTGGCCGGCATTCAAAGGGGAGGGAGAGGGGCTAGAAGCATAGAAGAATACTTCACAAGTCGAACCCTTGTTTTATGAGAACGAGAAACATAGAAAACAACTTCTTCTGTACTGTTCCTGGTCAATATTCATGGCGGCAAAGTGATTACTGCTATGCTACTACAGGTTATATTTTCCTTCTGGCCTACTCCGAGATCTATTCTCACGTTTGTTTCCAAGACGCAAATAATTGAAATCACTAGAACACTGACTCTGTTGTTTATTTTGCTTCATCTAAATTCCGATGCTACCATGAGACTGGAGGGTTTTACACTGCTACTATAGCCTGAGCTTTATCCGGTGTCGCAAACAAGCAAAGAAAGATGTAAAGCCCAAAGTGTTTCTGTTAGTTGTTTCTGTTGTTGGGATTTTGTTGATGATTGATAAAATTACTCAACAAAACCTTTACAGACAAATTTTGTCAAACGTTTTATCAGTACAAATTGTAAAAGGACAAAAATAATTTCCGATAACAATCGATAAAAATCGATACTACACGAGAAGTCAATCGTTATCGATTCCTATTGGCAATCAATTTCACTCCTCGATTAATATATATTGTTATTGATTAATATCGATTGTCGATTTATCGATTGACTACACCTGGAAATACGTCACTCGGTAGACAAATGTTTAGGCGTCCGAGAATAGGTTTTGATCTCCGGCAATCGATCACATAATACGAAAATTTTCCCTCGAAAGGTACCACTAAAAAGAAATCAAACAGCACCAGTAGCTGGTCCACATCCCAAACTTAAGCTGGAAATAAGAGTGTTCCACATTCGGCAGAATCCACAAATAAAGCGGCTCATACCCTAAACTATACACTCATGTGCCAACATTTAGGATTGCCGGACCCATAGACTACAGCAGACGGTTTTTGTTCCTGAAATCCTCTCTGCAAAGTAGGGAAAGAAACTTAAAGGAACTGGGCTCGCACCTCTCGCCGCTCGATCGTTCTTCTTATGCTTCGCATTCTTAGCGTCGCACGCTAGAAAAGGAAGGGGACTGCTCGAGGTCTACAGGACAAAAGTGAATGATTTTGAAATTGTGCTTAGTAAACCTCCCTTTGAAAACTACGCAGTTCGCATTATTTTGACTTCTCCTCCTGCTTTACTTTTTGTATCGGGTTACGAATGTTCTGACCTATTCAATCCATTTTCTATCGACTTCTCTATTTAATCAAATTTGATTGAAATGTATGAATAGAAATAGAGTAAGGAGTGGATCATTTGACTTTTTAGGGGGAAGAAGGTGATTTGGTATAGGTAGGAATACTTTTAACCTTTTTACTTCCGTTGAAGGTTCAAGTCATCAGGAGTCGACTGTATAGTTCAGAGACTGGACTAGCGAGCGAAGCCATCCGGCTCGAGCCTGGACCCTCGCCAGCTCATCTCTCACGGCTTTGCCGTGCGTGCCGCAGCGCATTAGACCCTGCTTACAGGCTAGGAGCAACTTAGATCTTAAATTTTACATGAAGGCTCTAGACACGAGAATGCGGCAACGCGTCTCGTTTTATCTAGGCTGATATTACTGGCTATTACCTATGACATGCGTCCCACGCTAGGAAAGGAAAGGGACTGCTTGCAGTCTACAGGACCCAAAATGAACGACGCTGATGAACGACGCTCGCTATTCTGTTGCTTTACTTACCGTCAACAAAAAAGTACTTTGTAGAACGTATTAAAACGCACGTCTTACCTCGGCGGTTCCACGTATCATATCATGCCCTGTCACGCCCTTTTAAGGGCTTAGGAAATTAACTAATGCTTTTGTTGATGTCTGGCTAGGGAGTTTTAAAAGACCATCCTCGAAAGTTAAGCTATGAATAGGTTTCTGCATGGAGAGCGGAACAGCAAAACGTTCCCGGCAAATAGTTTAAAAAGAAGAAATTTGTTCTTTACTTCTTAAAAATTTTGTTCCTTGATGGATTTTTAAAATTTTGCTTCTTGGTACCACTGAGCACGTTGGTCTCGCGCTGAACATCAGCGGGCGTCAGGTTTACTGACGTCTGATAGTAACGGTAGCCAAGCCGATAACAATTGTAAATCTAATCTAAATCTCATTGACACCTAAATAAAATTATTATTATTACTATTGTAGCATTCGCGGCAAAAACCTGAGAGCTTTGAGTAACAATGAAGCCGGCGAACTCAATAAGAAAGACAAATTTATCTTGTTGTCAAACTTGAATTTTCTTCTCCACTGATGCGGATCTTTGTTAGTTTTCAGATTAACTGTTATGACAAGAAAAGGATACAAAAAGATATCTCCCAGTGAAGATAAAGGAGTCAGCTTCGTGTCTCTTCTTTTGTTTCAATGGATGAATAGTATCTTCAAGATAGGCAGTGAACGACCATTAGATGAGAATGATTTTTTCTCCTTTCAAAAGAGAATTCTTCCACTTTTCTGACCGATCAGCTTCAAGCAAACTGGAACAAAGAAAAAGCAAAGTGCAACAGAAATCAAAAAAGGCCTAGACTTTGGAAATGCGTCATAAAGTTGATCTCGGCAAAAGATGCCATAATTATTGTATCCACGGATGCTCTGCGCTCAATTTCTACCCTTCTTCAACCATTGTTATTGGGATATCTTATTTCCATACTGATGTCATCTGAGCCACAGAAAGATGATCTTCTGTTCGGTTGTACACTTGCTTTGTGTTTGTGCATAAATTCTATCATAGGAGCTCTTTGTATGCACCACTATGGCTACAGATGTGAGCTGTTGGGTATCAGAATTAGTTGCGCCCTAAAAGGTCTAATCTGTTATAAGGTAAGCACGAATAGTGAAGAATAGGAGAGGAGGGAGCGTGGTCGAGTCTGGAGGGAGGAGGGGAGACTCCTTGTCCTTTTACTTGTATTCTAGAGTAAACAAATGTCCAGCTGTAATGAATGAAGGATTTTCCGAAATTTGAAAATGCGGAGCTCTAACTGTGCTCTGACAACCATCTAAAGTTGCGCAATCTAAATTGTGAAACATTTATTTTGATAACTTCTATCCTAAGAATTCTATGGCGAATTCCCTAATTCACAACAATTAACTCAGTGAGACCTAACAATCCTGAAAATTTGAGGTGAAAAGCTTATTTAAATCCTTCTTGAAATATCTTTCCTCAAAGGCAAAAATAAGTCGTTTTGAGAAAACGAGCTTTGAACTTACAGGGAGAAATACTTCTCAAAATAAAACTTCAATACCGTTAGATTCGAATTCCGATAAAAACAAAAATTCCTAATTTTTACAGAACTTCAGGTAACCCTCCCCTTTCCCCTCCCCCCCTCCCCCCACCTCAACTGGCATGTCTGAGAACTAGCTAGGTGTAGCTAAGTGCATTGATCACCATAAACAACAGTAACCGTTAAACACTTTGATTTCACTCCTGATCGTAGGCGGGAGTAGCCACACAGAGGGATTGATCCTGTTTCCCTGAGGCATAGTTACCTTTACCTAGATGCTTTTTTATAAGCAGTAGATTACCAACTGACGAAACTTTCTTTCTGTTTATATCTTCTGGTCACCTTGAAGTTTAATATGCTCAAACAGGGTTTAGCATGAAAATAATAAAGATTCTTGTAATAAAGATTTTTGTAGCTCTCAAGGGGTATGCCCAGTTTTTGGAATCCTGACCCACGACATCCCGATCTTATGGAAGGTGCTGTAAACACTAAGCTACCGAGGAGTGTGGAGTGAGTCGAATATTAGCTACAAAGTAAACATCGATTTTCAGGTATTTGCTCCCAGGCCTCTAGGACTGGGAATTACCCACTCCACTGTGGTTGCCTCGGTAGCTCAGTGGCTACATCACCTTCCATGAAATCAGCGTTTCGTGGGTTCGAATCCCGCTCGGGGCGTCTAATTTTCCCCGGCATTCTTTTTGTTTAATATAGATAGGCATATCAGAATTCACCTCTCTGATGATGAAGAACAATTACATTTTTAGCTACTTAGTTTACCTTTTAATCTCATATTTAGAAAATTACGTAAATACGATTCTGTGCTTTCCCTAAAAGTCAAACCCATTTTCAGAACAACATCAGAACCGCCAAGACATGTAATCTGACCAAAACAGCCCAAATCCCTTACTCTTGGGGTAGCATATCTCTATATCGTTTTAATAGAGGAGTATTTCACGGATTGTAGGTTGCGAGTCAAACTACCGATACTGAGTGTTTTACAGAAACTGCTTTAATTTACCGACATCGTTAGATCGCAAACTAGATGCAGCGTAAGACAAAGTAATATTAACATACCACATTGTGCTTCTTTAATCCTTGTTTCGAGAAAAAGCATAAGATTTAGTCTTTCTTCCTTCGCAGACGCTACTTCTCAGCAAGGATGCATTGTTAAAATTTACAACAGGCCACGTGATCGACCTTATATCAAATGATGTTCAGCGAATAGAGGAAGACACAGTCATGTGGCTTTACTTATTGTTTCCTTCGTGCTTTGTCCTCGTTGTGATAGCAGTGTTACTCGTGTATTTGATTGGCTGGCAATCTCTGATGGGAGTCTTTTTCCTGTGTTTTCTTGTGCCGTATTTCGCTGGGATCTCCTACATTAGTGCTGCACTGCGCTTGCGCACGGCAGCGCTGTCCGACAGACGCATCTCCTTGATGAACCAGGTGGTTTCTGGGATTCGTGCCATCAAAACGCGTGCGTGGGAGGACGAATATCGAAGAAAAATTCAACACACACGAAGGTAGGGGAAAAAATTGTTGTACTTAATGTTGACTAAGTGTGTTATTGCATTCACTGTAGGTGCAAGATAAATTTCAGCCACAACTCATCGTCTTCTATTGCCAACTTGCAGGTTTGATCAGTTACCTCATCTTTCACTTTCCGCCGATAGAACACAACCGCGTGTGTTGTCTTGTAAGGGATAAGTACTGTTCTTGGTTTTTGGCCCAACAGTCCTCAAATTAAAGGTTTCTGACTACTATTCTTCGTACTGTCTACTAGAACAGTTGTACTGCTCACCCTCGTTTATACAACTGCTCATTTGGCCATTTGCTCATGTAAATCTCGGCTGTAAAAGACTTTAACGGAAATTCCAAAGACCACTCTCTCTTACTACTCAACACTACGTGCCTCTAGCAGTGTTGTTAAGTGATATATCCTCATAGTGTTTTGGGGTTTTGTTTTCAGAAGTGAAATTAACACCATCCGTAAGAAAAGTGCCATTCTGTCAGGAGTTCTTGCCTTGTGGGACAGTTCAGTATCAATGGCGACCCTGTTGTCTGTAATTACTCTTGTGCTTACTGGTCAACCCATCACACCTGTAAGCGTCTTTATGCTGCTAGGTTTTATGAATTTGGCAAGACATAAAACATGCCTTCACATCTCTTCTGCTTTGTTACAAGGAAACGACGCTCGTGCGTCGCTAGGAAGAATAGAAGATTTTCTCCTTTTAGAAAACCTTCCCGCCATTTCACGTGGTCAGTCTGAAGAGGACACCAATAACCCAGAGAGCAAGGCAACCAAAGTCACGAGTGGTCTGTCAGATCAACAGGCGAAAATGGCAAAGGTATTCAATCCTGACATAGTAAAATATCCGCTGAACGAGCCCAGTATTTTATGTGTGTCGAATTTGACGAACAGACAAATCGAGCGACAAGATGAATTTATTTTGCAGGATATTGAATTTTACACAGCACCACAAAGCCTAACAGTCATTACTGGACCAGTGGGCAGTGGAAAATCTACTCTTCTCTCAGCCATCGCTGGCGAGATCTCTGAAGTTAGCGGGACAATAACCTTCCAAGGTTCTTTTGTTTATGTTCCTCAAGCAGCTTGGATCTTCTCTGGAACAATAAGAGAAAACATTCTGTTTGGTCAGCCATACGATGAAACAAAGTACACCAGAGTAATTGAAGCATGCGCCCTCACAGAAGACATCCAGCGGTTTCCTGACTATGACAAAACAGTTGTTGGAGAACGCGGTGAAGTTCTGAGTGGAGGTCAGAAGGCGAGAGTAAGTTTAGCACGCGCAGTTTACGCTGATGCAGACCTTTACTTGTTAGACGATCCTCTGAGTGCCGTTGACTTTAAAGTTGGCCAACATATCTTTAAAACATGTATCAACGACTTACTAGGCGAAAAAATGCGAGTGTTAACTTCACATCAGGAACAGCACATGAAAAAAGCTGATCAAGTGATTGTGTTGTACAAAGGCCGCGTGTTGGAAAAGGGAAGTTTCACTGAACTACAAGAAAAACGTATTCTAAACACAACTATTGACCCGCAATATCAGACAGTTGGGAAAGATAGCAAGCACACTAGGAGTGTTGCTCGGGAAATTGAACAGAAAAACGGAGGTGATGGCTGTGAAACAATGATTCCACAGCCCAGTGAACCTAGGAGTCTGGAAATATCACAAGAAGATCGTTCCATCGGAGTGGTTTCATCAAAGCTTTACTGGAACTACTTTAGAAGCGGAGTACATTGGTCAACAATCTGTGCAGTAATTTGTTTGTGCTTGATAGCGCAAGGTAAGAGTTCATTTTGTAACTAGTCATTCATACATAATAATTTTATTTTGTATTTCTTATAAGATTATTAAGCTGATCAACGACTATTTCATTATCATTTGCTTCTTATCAAGGTTTTGATCACATTATTTTTATTTTGTCTCTTACTTCTCTAAGCAATGATAGTTGCTCCTGACGTCTGGCTCTCGTCGCTAACAAAGAAACTACCAGAAGATCAGAAAGACAACACAAACTTGACTATCTATGCTTGTCTAGTCAGTGCGTCCCTTATCTTTGCCGTCATTCGAGCTTATGGATTCCTTCTGGTTTCCTTAAGATGTTCAGAGCGTCTTCACGACAAAATGGTTTTAGCTATTTTACAAGCACCGGTTCATTTCTTCGATTCAAATCCCGTGGGAAGAATACTCAATCGATTTTCTAAAGATGTAGGCTGTCTTGACGAGTTGTTGCCCAAGACTTTTCTAGTATCTGTCCAGCGAGTCTTGTTGGTGTTTGCATCAATAATCATATCAACCGTTACAAATCCTTGGCTTCTATTTCTTGTTGTTCCGTTGATTGTGTTAGTCGCGTACATCGCCAAGTATTACTTGAAGACGTCCAGAGAGCTTAAAAGGTTAGAGTCAATATGCCGCAGTCCAGTCTTCTCTCACTTTTCCGAGACCCTGAATGGACTGGACACGATTCGAACCAGACGAAGACAAAGGGATTTCGTGGATCAGTTTTATGGGTGCATTGGTTTAGTCGTAACAGTCTTTAGGACGCTTTTCACTAGAGTTTTGAACATAAAACGCATCTGCTTTGATTTTGGGCGCATTACTCCGTAAAATTATTGGCTTGAACATCTTGTGCCATCAAGAACAATTGCGACTCGCTTGCAGATGTTTTATAGAGCCTCAAGTGTTTCAGTAGTAATGACTAGCTACTTACTTACTGTAGTTTCATTCCGTTAGATATCAAGATGTTCATAATCAGTCGTATATTATGGTGATGGCCAGTGGGCGATGGCTTGGTGTACGCTTGGACCTTCTCGCATCCATGTTAATTGGTGCAGTGTCTCTGGCAGCTGTTTTGGTGTCTCAAGATGCCGGTATGTGCATTTGAAACAATGAAATGAAACAATGAAACTATAATCTTGGTCAATAATTCTTTTATCCATGACTTTGTTTACACAACCCTTTCAGTGCAGTGAAGACCGAGTGAAGAGCGCATGCCGTCTTGGCAAAGGTAGCGGATAGAACTGCGCACGAGCAGAATATTATAGTGTTCAGCTAAGCTCATAGGATGCGAGTAAGCGCAGTAGCAAAGAACTATTTAAGATAGTCTATTTACAGGTGATAGAGGTCTCTTAACCAATCAAAAGAAGAAGAATATCCGTCAAATGATAATGTGGAATTAGTCTATTTAGCGGAAAGTTGTATCATAGGGCGGGGTACTTTTATTCGTCAAGTTTAAAAAACAATAGTAAACCGTATCATACGACTGAATAATTTGAATAATCTCTTTTCATTTTTTTTTCTTTTTTTTTTTAATCAGCTTGGGCTGGCCTTGCGCTTGTTTATATCATCCAAACTTCGATAAATGCTCAATACGCTGTCAAGAAAACCTCAGATTTCGAGAATTTCATGACCTCAGTTGAACGAGTGATGACGTACAACAACCTTGACTCAGAACCTGGATACAAAGTCCATAGACTTCCCCCGGAACACTGGCCACACGAAGGAAATATCACATTCCAAAATGTGACATTATCGTACTATCCGGGGGGACCTCGAATACTGAAGAAAATTAATCTTAACATCAAAGGAGGAACAAAGATTAGTGTTGCAGGCCGCACAGGTGCAGGAAAGTCGTCTGTTGTGGCAGCTGTCATGCGCATGCCTGATGCTGATGGAGACATACTGGTCGATGATATTCCAATCAAACAGATCAATCTCCAAGAGGCTCGACGATGTATATCAGTTCTTGGCCAAAGCCCTGTCCTGTTTAGTGGGTCGCTAAGAAAAAATCTCGATCTCTTGGAACAGCTGCAAGATGCAGATTTGTGGCGAGCTTTAGAGGATGTCCAACTGAAGGATTTGGTAGAGGGTCTAAAGGGAAAGCTAGATCACGAGCTGTTAGAACATGGAGCAAATGTCAGTGTAGGAGAGCGGCAGTTAATTTGTTTGGCTCGTGTGCTGTTACAACAAAACAAGATCGTCATCTTGGATGAGCCCACTGCACACGTCGATCCAGAAACAGAACAAACAATCTGGAACGTAGTGCATGAGAAACTAAAGGAATCCACAGTCATCACTGTAGCTCATCGTTTAAGCACCATCAAAAACTGTGACATGATTTTGGTTTTGAAAGACGGGGAAGTTGACGAATTTGACAAATTTGATACTTTAGTGAATAAGAAAGGAGGTGCTTTGAGTGAAATGGCTTGAGTTTCAGGTATCTACATAGGCTAGTTCCCCCTTTGTTAATTTACAGACCACTTTCAATTTGAATCAGTTTTTGCGGTTGTTTACTTCTTGCTTATCGAAAACAATCAGAAGTGTAGGAGTTCTCGTAAGCTTTTAATTTTTTTTGCATGTTAGCAGGTGTTATTGTTTTTGGGTTAGAGGTATTGTTTCTGATGTTTATTTTGTCGTCCTCTCAAAGGGTCTAAAGCCATTCATGTAAGACCTCAAAGCCTGGTTCTCATATGTCGCCGACATGCCTGGGACACCATTACGGTATATGTGAACATTTATCGCAGAATCATAATCTGTCCCAGGCATTGACCGCCGACTTGCCTGCGAAGTTGAGTTGAGTTCAACTTCGCAGGTAAGCCGGCGGTTGTCGGCGGTTGTCGGCGGTTGTCGGCGATGAAAATAGTTTATGTGAACATCATCGGCGGACGCAACGTACTCCAGGGAGACGATTCGATCCATATTTACAGGTAAAATGGTTGAAAATTGCGCAATTCGATTTGCATTTCGAGCAAATTTGACTGTACGTCGGCGATCCACCGCAGATGCGCCAGGGACCCACTGGGACAGATCGCCGAACGTTGTCCGTTGCAACCGGCGACTACGTCGCAGGTAGGATATGAGAACCAGGCTTGAGCCTGGTTTTCACTAGCGACACAGGCACAAGCGTAAGCACAAACGCAAGCAATAGGGATGACCCAATTGAAAACGAAATTCGACGCAAACACAAACACAAGTTAAATCATTCGAACCTTCCAAACTGTTGAGGCACGAGGTAATCTGGATCCAGCGTTTGTCATAGGCCAAACATAACCACGTGTGGTAAATATCCTTGTGCTCGTTTTCACTTGTCGCAGCGGAAACGCAAGCATAAGAGCAAGAACAAGAAAAGGGAAAATTTTTGATCCTTTTCTTTGTGCTTGTGCTTGTGCTTATGCCTGCGTCAAGGCCGTTTTCACGGTGAAATAAGAATTATTGTGTTTGCCCTTGTGCCGTGCACTTGTGCTTGCGTCGCTAGTGAAAACCAGGCTTTACGAGAGCTGCCCCGACCTCAAATCATGTCATTTAAAATTAGAATTAAAAAATTTTGGCTGACAGTGACCGTTTTCACACTAGAGGACGGGAAAATCGTCTGACATTTGTTCGTCGAATTTGAATTCGAGACGGCCCTATACTGAAATTCGTACTACTAGAAGAATTGTAAGCACAAATCAGTACCTTTGAGCCCAAAGAGAACTGGCAGTAGGTTCACGTTGAGCTCTGCAAGAATCTTTTCAAATACCTTTTCGTTTGAGCTTTCTCTTTAACGCGATCGTTTCCAGTACAAGAGCCCAGCGTTTATCTCGCAACCAAGCACATGTGCCAATGTCGTGAGTTCTTCTTATGACCACGTTTTATTCTTTTTCGAACACTTCGCTTTGTTTTTCGCTGACTTCGCTGACTTCTTCATTTCCGCCATGTTGAAACTTCCCATAAAACCTCGTTCTGTTGCTAGTCCCATTTCCTCACGGTGAGAAAATTAATCATTTGACCGTCACATGTGAATTTATGTCGTACTGTCGTCGACTTGCTCGTCTGGACGGACAAATCGTCTTGGAAAACTCGTCTTTCCAGACGGACAAATATCAGACGATTTGTTCGTCTGAGACGATTTGTCCGTCCGGACGATTTGTTCGTCCTCTAGTGTGAAAGCGGCTAATGTCATTGAAGAAAATTGTACAAAGAGAAGAACATACTCTATTCTATCTGTACAACGTTCTCTATAATTGGTGGGTGATATATTAGTGACTATAGAGGATGATATAAGTCATCCTCTGCTGCTTTATGTCGTAACTACTCAATTTTCTTTGTTTTATATAATCACTTATCTTTTACACGTTTAGAATTACGATTTGAGCATAAGGGGAGGAATATTCTTAAGTACAGTCTGAACGTTGTTTTTATATTCTACCTTACGAAAGTAGAACGTGTTTATTAAGAAGTGATCCTACGTTGTCTGATCAACACGGAGTAGAGCGTGTATTAATTTTACCGTCTTTAATTTTTTAGCGGTTATTCAGGTCATCAAACGTTTGTCCTATAGGACAAAACAAATTTAGCCGGCTTGGTTGCACCTAAGTGAATGTACCGTGATTTTTTCTTTGGGACCAAATGGTCGGTGCATTATAGGATAGGCTTTAGAATTATGGTCTGGTTCGGTTATATCCATGATACAGTTAAGTTAATAATAATAATAATAATAATAATAATAAT